CTGGAATCAAAGATTATTAGAGGGGAATGTGGATCTCAGAACATAAACATATCAGCTATGACTTTGAACGGCTGAATAGCTGACTTATCCTAAATCATATGTTTCACAAAGACATGTTGACTGTCTGATTCTGTAATTTTCCAAATGTCTCCCTACTACTACTATTAGAATGAACACAAACATTTTCCCAATATAAATGAATGTTAGCTGGCTAATGATTCTCCTATTTTGTCTGCCTCATTTCTTGAATACAGGTGTAATGTTTAGGGTTTTTCAATCTACTGGGATCTTGCTAGAACCTAGTGAAATTTTTAAATAATTAGACCGAATGCATCCACCATCTCTGCAGCCACTCCTTTTAAGACCCAGGAATCAGGCCATTAGGTCCAGGGAACTTGTCAGTCTTATTCATTTTCCTAATACATTTTCTCTTGGGATAGCAAGACCTTAAGGCGTGGGAGCAGAATTGAGTCTGCTCCGCCATTCAATGAGAAATAGCTGATCTGATAATCCTCAACTCCATTTTCCCACCTTTTCCCATTACCCTTGATTCCCTTGATTTAAAAATTTATGTTCAGTATTGAATAAATTTATTGACCCAGACTTGGCATTCTGATGAAGAATTCCACAGATTCACAAATTATTCTTTATCTCTGTTTTAAAACAAAATCAACTTCTTATTCTAAGATTATGCCCTCAGCTCTCCCACAAAGACAAACAACCTTTCCACATTTTTAAATGCATTCATACCAGCTAGGCTAGTAATTATTGGCCATTCTAATTGCCGTTAAGAGTCAACCATATCACTGCATCTGGGCTCATGTGTAGGCCACACTAAGAATGCCAGTTTCCTTCCCTAAAGGATGTTAGTGCACCAGATGGGTTTTTCTGACCATGTTCATCATTAGACTCTTGATTCCAGATTTTTATTGAGTTCAGATTTCACTATTTTCTAGCAGAATTCAAACTCCAGTCTCCAGAACATTTACCTGGGTCTCTGGACTAATAGTTCTGTGATAATACCACTTGGCCATTATTTCCTCTCGGCATCTAACCCACCCAGTCCTCTAAGAATTTTGTATGTTCCAATAAGGTTGCCTGTCATTCTTTATTCCAACAAATACAGTCCAACCAACTCAACCTCTCATTAGATACCCCCTCCATATCTGACATCGGCCTAGTGAACCTTCTTTGGGCTGCCTCCAATGCCAGTATATCTTTTCTTAGATAAGGGGCCCAAAACTGTTCAGTATTCCAGCTGTCACATCGTGCCTTTTACAGTTTTAGCAAATCCTCCTACTTTTATATTCCATTCTCTTTCATATAACCTGCTGAACCTGGATTCTAACTTATTATGATTCATGGATGAGGATTCCCAAATCTGTCTGTTTTGAGGCTTTCTGCAGTATTTCTCCATTAATTAATATTCTGCTCCTCTATTCTTCCTGCCAAAATGCATAACCTTATGTTTCCCCACATCATGTTCCATCTGCCAAAATAGTGATTGCTTTAAGTTCCTTCCTGCCTTTTGCCTATTGATTTTCCTCCCATGTAAGTATGCTGTAGTTGTCTTCTATTATGAAGACTCAGAAAAAAAAAATTGCGTGATTTTACCATTTCTTTGTTTCCAATTATTAATTACATAGGCTCACCTTCAAAGAATGAACACTTGATTTAGCTGCTCTTTTTACTGCATGTATTTGTTCCTTCTTAGTTGTATCTCTCACTCTAATTTCTTCCTGTTTAATATTCTATTCATTGCTCTTTGATTTCTAAAACTTTCCCAGTTTTGTGACCTACCAGTCATCTTTGCAGCACTGTACATCTTTACCTTCAATTTGGTAATATTCTTAACTTCCTTAGTTAGCTGGAAAGGTGCACCCTTTTTTGAGCATTTATGTTCATGGAATGTATCTTTGAAAGTTATTAAATAACGTGTCTGTCACTGCTTGTTTACGGTCATCTTTTATAACTGATGTTCCTCTTCTGCTTAAGCCAACTCTCTTCGTATGTTTATAATTACTTTTATTTAGACTTAAAACATTGACCATCAAAATGAAGTCAGTGTGGAATAACTCATTTATAAATTCAGTGCAAAATAGTTAAATAAGACCAATTTTGTCTGATTCTGAACATTTTTTTAGACTTTGTTTATGGCTATTTCAAAAATGTTCCCAAGTGAGAGACCTGGGTTTATACATGTCATGTATATAATTCATACTTAAGGTGAACTAATCAGATTAAATTATCTGGCAATTGAACATTGTTATTGACAGTGCTTTTGTTCCCAAATATCCTGGGTAAATGTTTTCAATTGGCAATAACTTCATGGTGACTATGAAATGCTAATCATTACCTATAATTATTGAGTTTTATGAGTCAAGTACATGAAGTATCCCAATATGGAAATCATTGAACTTCTGAAGTTAGATAATCCTTAAAGCTCTCAGTTCTGTTTTGAAAGCAGCTGCTTTGTGAAACTTTTGTGTCGTTGAAAAGAGAAATGTGTTACTGAAGGTGCTGTTGCACTTACCAGGACAAATGAAAGAATGCCATTTTTAAAAAAAATCTTAACGAACGTTATAGGAGAAAGGAGGTGCTGAATGTTTTGGCAAGTGAACTCATATTGGCCAATGTGTTACAAAGAGAAAGTAGTGGGAAACTAGAGCCTTCCCAAGTTCCCAGATAATTCTGGGAGGTGCAAGGCATGAGCGTATTCATTTTATTTGCAGAGAACAGCCACCTATGTATAAATGTACGTCGTTTCCAGCAAGCATAAATGGGCCATGATACAAATTTGAGTGATTACCTTAAATAGGTTATTGGTGGATTCAGGATTGTTTAACAAGTCCTGCCTAATAGTGAAATCAAGTCTAACATGTTTTTAGTTTGGCAAGGATGGGCTAATTTGAATACGGACTGTATGTTGTCTATTACAAGCAGCCAGAATGATAAGTTGTTTAATTCAGTCTCCAATTATTGAGGGACACCTTATGTATCTGGCACTTAATTAAGCCAAATCTTGCAAGAATTTGTTTGGTCGACAGCACGTTTTTATTGAATTGAAAGCAGCATCTCATTAGTGGAAAATACCGCTTGTATTGACAGTGCATAATAGGAGTGTGAAATGGCTTGCTTAAAGAGTGAACTGTTTTGGGATGCACTTTCCAGGGTAATGAGGTGTAGACTGGACACACAGGTTTGAAAGAAGTGGGCTTTAGCCCATTTGTGAGTTCATATGATAGGCAGTGCACAATGATCTGATTAGCAAAGCTCTGACCCATCAGATAGTTTCAGTGCACATTCTCTCTGCACCAAGCTCACTTGGTGAGCAAATGGCTAAAGCCTTATTTATGTTCGCTGTTGAGGCCAGTCTTTTGAGCTATATGAATCCCAAATGTGTTTCGACCAGGGAAGGTAGGCTTTTGGTAGGTAGAAGTGGAGAAGTCAGTACTTTCAACCAAATTCAAAAGTGTCAATAACAGTTAAGTAAGCTGTTCCACACTGCTACCACTGAGAGGGATCTGCCTCAATTCCAAGAAGATGCTGTACCAGCCACATGTTAAACATTGTGTATGAATTTCACTGCTGGTGTATTGCTGGGTATGTAGGCTATACATCCCATTGATTGGCTGGGGGAATCAAAGAACAATATTTATTCAGCTCCATGCAGAGTATAGACCATACTAAACCAGAACACACTTGCAAACTAAAAAATGAATCATCTACAGTGAACGTGATTCTGTGGTTGGGTAGCACTTGTCGAACCATCTCAAGTACTCCAATGAACAGCCGTAGAATCATACAGTACAGAAGAAGCTATTTGACCCATTGAGTCTGCATGGACCAAAAAAATCTACTGTAACTCTGCACCAGCCAATTTAAGATAATCAGTCAAGTTCGTAAAATGATTCTTTTACAGTTGCTGGAAATGACATTCATTAATATGCAAGGGTCAGATTTCTGCAAATAAGAGTAATATGTTTAATCCTCCCACACTTTCTGAATTACCCAGAAGCCTAAGAAGCTTGTAGTTGCTTGTTGCTTTTTTCATGGCAACAATGCTGATAATCTGTCAAATTGCCAACTAATCAGCACTCCTTTTTCCTTGACATAAGTTGAGTAGTTTGAAGTTTAGCATTTGCATTGTCCATTTGTTACATTTGTCCAAATGAGTGCAAGGTGAAAAACTTGACAACATGTCTTTTTCAGTGATCTACAGACTTGAGTTGGATCTAGCGGTTTCAGAAAGCAGCCATTTTCTTGGTAATGAAACTCTAGTGTAATATTCAATGACAGATTCTGGACATTTCATGGTTGGAATGCTAAATAACAGAATCATTGGAAGGACTTATTTTTTGAAAACAAACATTTGAATAATTGCTCTGAGAAAGGGTCACTGTACCCAAAACAATAACTGTTCACTGCTGCCAGACCTGCTGAGCTTTTCCAGCAACTTCTGTTTTTGTATCTGGTTTACAGCGTCTGTAATTCTTTTGGTTTTTATTTGAATAATTGATTGGCTAATTTGCAACAGATTTCTATTGCTGTACTCTTCTATTCTCTTGTAGAAACAAGATGTGGAGATGCCAGTGTTGGACTGGGGTGGATAAAGCCAGAAGTCACATGACACCAGGTTATGGTCCAACAGGTTTATTTGAAATCACAAGAATGGAGGAGTTCTTCACCTTGCAGAGGAGCAGCACTCCAAAAGCTTGTGATTTCAAATAAACCTGTTGGACTATTACCTGAGACAACAAGGTGTAGAGCTGGATGAACAAAGTAGGCCAAGCAGCATCAGAGGAGTGGGAAAGCTGACATTTCGGGTCTAGACCCTTTTTCACTATTACCTGGTGTTGTGTGACTTCTGGCTTATAGAAACAATAAAGAAGATAATGTTCATCACTACATATATTAAAATCGTCTCTAAGTAGCATAACTTGAAAGATATGTTTCTTTGGTCTTATTTTTGAAATTCTGATAATTCTTTTTTGTTGAAGCTTAGTGAACATGGCTACTGTACAGGACATGAACCAGATTCAATGGAGTTCAGCAGCCTTGGAGGCTGGGTTGCTACAAGGGCTTCAGGCATGAAGAAAAATATCTACGGTAACATTGAAGATCTGGTAAGTATTTGAAAACATGCATTTACTTGCATTTGTTTGGATTCAGTGTAATCAGCAGAGCCTCAAAAATTTCATTAGTTACCTGGGAACTGCATTTAATACCTATCTCCATTTGCCAAGACGGGTCCATAGACCACTTCAGTCTTTATGCTGCTAATGCTACGCAATGCCATTGAGAGAACATGTTGCAGCATTTTGGCCCAGTAATGATGAAAAAATAGTGATTGATGTCTTGTTCAGAAAAGTAATCCAGTTCCAGAGAATGATGGCTTTTCCATGTTCGGATGTTTCCAAATGGTGGCTCCAAATCTCAATTGATTAGCTCCATGCTTTGACTTAAAGAAAAAATCGAACAGGTCTGGCAACAAAAAAAAAAGCTGAATAAATCTTTTTAAAATATCCTTGTCAACAAATCGAAAAGAAACTTGATTCTGAATTGTTACTTGGTAGCACAAGACTTCAATATTAATAAGAGGAGCAACATATTGCTGAAATGTTGTCTTGCACTCATCAGGTCAAACACACAAATGCCAAGTTTTAAACAATCAAAACAATTCATTACAAAGGAGAAAGAGGATACTGATTGTTTGGCGAGCTGACTGTGGTTGAGATATTTTCTCATCAACCTATTTAGAGATGTTCGACATAGCTCTGGAGCAGGTGGGACTTGAAGCTAGGTCTTCTGGCTCAGATTTATGGAGATTATCCACTCCTCCACAACAGCCTGACAATCACCTCTGGTTGAGGTATGACCATGAAATAAGCAACAGTTCTTTATAATACAAACTATACTTCACCAACCTATGCTAGCAAAACTCAACAAAATATCAATTGGTGAATGTGCTTCAGAAATTGGGCAGTACTTGCTGACCAATTGAGTCTGCTGATAGCCAAACTAACAAGCAATTTAAGATAATCCGCTTGCAGGAAGTAACATGCATGCATATGTCAGGACCTGTTCTTCTGCAAGCAAAAGGGATATCTTCAAGTCTTGAGACTTTTGAACTACCTGGAAGCAGAGGGAGCATGTAATTACATGTTGCTTTAACTATGACAATGCAATAGCCAATAGGTCATTTGGCAAATTTTCAGCTTCCCTTATTTCCACTGGTATGAATTGGTGTAATCATTTAGATTTTTGCACTTGTTCTGCTGAGTGCAAGCAATGATCCTTGTGTAAAATGTCCAACTTGTATTTTTTCACAGGTGTGGTAATGCAAATAATTTGAGACTTTCATTGTTTTAATAGGTGGTGTACATAAAAATGGTTACGCCAAGAGGCATAGTAGAAAAAAGTTGTCAAGGTCCAAGAATGTCCACAGGCCCTGACATTTACCACTTCATTATGGGATCTGAAGGTACCATTGCAGTTTTATCATATTTTGTCTAAGTTTTCAGTTGTAATACAGTCAGGAAAAACTAAATAGAGAATGTTGGTGAGGCCGCTTTGAGAGTATTGTATACAGTTCTGGTCACACTGCTAGAGGAAGGATATTAAATTGGAAAGGGTGCAGAAAAGATTTACAAGCATGTTACCAGGACTGGAGGGTTTGAGTTATCAGAAGAAGATTGATAGGCTGGGACTTTTTGCTTGGAGTGTGGGACGTTGACAGATGACCTTAGAGGTTTATAAAATCATAGGGGCTGAGATAAAGTGAATAGCAAAGGTCTTTTCCCTGGGATAGGGGAGTTCCAAACTAGAGGGCATAGATTTAATGTGAGAGAGGAAAGGGACCAAAGGGGCAACTATTTTTTTACACAGTGTGGTTCATGTGTGGAATGAACTTCCAGAGGAAGGGGTAGATAGGTACAGGTACAACCGATAAAAGACATTTGGTCAAGTACATGAAGAGGAAGGATTTAGAGGGATATGGGCCAAACACGGGTGATGAAGGGTCTAGGCCCGAAATGTCAGCCTTTTTGCTCCTACGATGCTGCTTGGCCTGCTGTGTTCATCCAGCTCTGCACCTTGTTGTTACAGGCAAATAGGACTAGTTTAGTTTGGGAAACCTGGTTGGCATGGATGAGTTGGACCAAAGGGTCTGTTTTTGTGCTGTGAGACTCTGACTCTGTATATAAGTACGTGTGGGTAAAGGAGCAGAAGGATATGTTGATAGGGTGAGATGAATTAAGGTGGCAGGAGGCTTGAGCTGCCTAAGCAGTGGACTAGGCTTGTTGGGCCTATTTGTGTTAAAGATGTAACTAGAGATTAGGAGGATGCTTTTGCACAAAAAAACAGTTTTTAACAATGTAGCCCAACCTCTTCACTTTGATAGTTTAGGTTACTTGATCTGCTGCCAACGATTTCAACTTTTAGTTTGTGGCTTTGCAGAGAACAAGTGTTGCAGTCAAACTAGTGTCAATGTTAATTTGACCCAAAACCAGTCAGCAATGCCAAAGCAAAATTTATTTGAAAGAATGTGGAACTAATTTTTGAGGAAATGTGGAAACACAGGCTTCGAAGTCAAAAAAACTTATGTTGGCTCCTAACTACTACAGTCCTGTGCAAGTTTTGGATGCCAGTTATTTAATGAAGAGCTGATTTAGTTCAGTTTCTTGAAAATACCAACCATCTGGTTCAACCTACCATGAACCGAGACATGACCAATTGATGCAGATACATTTCAATGTCTTTCATCTTTTTAACGTTGCAATAGAGATGTGGACATTTGCTTAAAAATTTAATTTTAATCTGCTTTTTGAAATAGGTAAGTAGCAAACATTGTACATTGACTGTGTGCTCTAAATAGGCAGTAGTCCCAAAAAGTGACGGTTAATAATGATATTTCCTCCATAGCTTTCAGCCTCTCAATTCCCTAACCATGAACGGGTTGCTTTTACTTCCTGCTGAAAATGTATAAACAGGACTGCCTTCGTTTACCTATTGTTCAGCTTGTTGCTGCCCCAATTAATGTGTCTTATTTTATCCCAACTCGTATTTTCTCTCCCTGCCTGTATCCGTGACTCTTCCAGTACCCAACATTGACTCGTGTTTAAATTTTTCTAGCCCTAACCATTTCCTCTTCACCATGGTAGACAAACAGGAGGCTGGAAGAACAAAGCAAGCCGGGCTGCATCTGGAGGAAAGGAGCAGTTAACGTTGTGGGTATACATGCATGTGCAATCTCTGTGCATCACCGTTGCCCAACAGGGTGTGTCTTTGACAACTTCATTTGAGCACCATTTGCTACCTTCAAATGAAATGTATTGCTATGGATGTCGACACAGGTTTCTAATGGGTTTCTACCTATGCTTGCCTTTTTTGTCAGTATGTGGAAGAAATTTTTATCCCCACCTACTCAGAGCCCTTGCCTCATCTCTTTTATAGAGCCATAGAGTCTCACAGCACAGAAATAGACCAACACATCTGTGCCGTCTAGATGTCCCAATCTGACCTCGTCCCATTTGCCAGCGTTTGGCCCATTTCCCTCTAAACTATTCCTATTCATGTACCCATCCACATGCCTTTTAAATGTTGTAATTATACCCACTTCCACCACCACCTCTGGCAGCTTGTTCCATACATGCACCACCCTCTGCATGGAAAAAAGTTACCCCTCAGATCCTTTTGATCTTACCCCTCTCATCTTAAATCTATGTTCTGTAGTTTTGGACTTTCCCACCTTGGGGGGGAAAAAGACCTTGGCTATTCATCCTATCCATGGTTTTATAAACTTCGATCAGGTCACCCCTCAGCCTCCAAAGCTCCAGCGAAAATAACCCCAGCCTATTCATCCTCTTCCTGTAACTCAAACCCTCCAGTCCTGGCAAGATTCTTGTAAATCTTTTCTGCACCCTCTCAAATTTGACAATATCTCTCCGAGAGAAGGACATCCAGAATTGTATACAGTATTTTAAAATTGGTGATGCCTATAACAGTTATTGCTTTTTGCTCTCACCATGAAATGAAGTATTTTATTGACTTTGTTTCCAATTCCCACCCATCTCTCTTAATCTGTCCTTCCTTGATCTCTGTCTCCATTTCTGACCTTGGGTTATCAACTACAAGAAGACCATCGTTTTAGATTTTAGAATTTGTCACATCTACTCAAGTACCGAAGTACAGGATTACAGTGGAAAGTGTACAATGTTGCTGCACTTGGCACAATTTTAGCTACCTAGGTACAAAGTAGTAAGAGAAAAGCGTGTTTAAAACGTTAAGCATTACTTCAAAGGATAGTAGAAAAATAAAGAAATAGGTAATAGTTTACATCAATATCTTTTGTAGTTTAAACTACGAAAATAAAAGAATAATTTAAAAGTTCAACAGACTTGGATGTGTCCTCCGCTTATCTCACTCTGTTGTTTTCGACATCGCTGCTGCTGAACCTGCCGCCTCTCCAATCTCCCCCAGTGCCTCAGGAATACACCTGGGCAGGATCCATTTGCACATCAAGCCAAGACACTGCCAAGAGCCGCTGAGAGACCAGATAAGAGCCACCATGCCGCCGAGAGACCAGGCCAGGACCCACCAGGAGCCGCCGAGAGACCAGGCCGAGACTCACTGAGAGACCAAAGTCAGGAGAAAGGAGAAGGATACTGAAGGAGCGGAGAAGCTTCGGTTGGGGCGTCCTACTGTGCTGCCATCTTGACCAGAAGTGGAATTTTAGTTATGCTGATTATTCCTTCTTGCATTGTATTTTCTGTATGGACTGTATTCTACCATTTTCTCTGTCTATGTCTGTTCTGACAGTGCGGTTTTCCATACAAACACATCCATGTGTCTTCCTTTTTATTCACTCAAATCTGTTTTTTTTAAATATATTCGAGGGAAGTTGTCATCTTTTTGAATCTACAATTTAGCAGTTAGGGTTCTGGCATGGCATTGTGCAGTAGAAGACAATATGCTTGTGTTGTGACATAATACTTAACTTTCATAAGCATTGAATACTAAATTATTCCAAAAGACTAGTTTTATTATGCAAGTTTAAATGCTAACATGTTTAATTCTATTCATTTTATGCTAATGAATGTATATCAATTATTTTAAAATCATCTGTTTTAATAGACAAAGCGCTCAAGTATTCTGAGTCAGTTAACGAATTACATACAGGGATATTTTATATCCTATATGACTTAAACCAGAAAGAGGAACAGTACATTTATTTTAGAGCTGACTGATTTGGAGGATGATGTGAAAGTTCTTTTAACTGCTGAAAAATTGCAATTCCAGTCTATTTTCAACTTTTTCAGATTTGTTTTCTGTCATTTCAGGAACACTTGGTGTAGTCACGGAGGTCACAATAAAGATCAGGTCCTTGCCCGAATATCAGAAATATGGCTCAATAGTGTTTCCGGACTTTGAGCGTGGTGTAGCCTGTTTACGAGAGGTAGCACGGCAGGTAATTATAGTCACTTCATTCTTGCATTTATGGCTGTTGAATGGCCTTTCTAACACACAGGCTATGTTTGTGTCCAGTACCAAATAGCTGATTCTCCGGCAACTGCAATGCAGTTCAGTTTTCAGCGATTAGAAATCATGCTATTTAGCAACCAAAAGCAGAAATTCTTAATTTAACATGCGCAGTGGCCGTGAGAGCAACCAATTCATATTGTTTCTAACTGTACCATGTGACAATGTCATGAATTGTTTCATGGTTTGTGTAACTGTAAAATTTAACTGTTATGCTGAAGACAATCTTGTCCACAACAGGAGATAGTCTAGTTGCATTCAAACTCCCATTTGGAGGTAGTTATTAAATCAGGCTTAAAAGATGATGTCATGCTCACCCATAAATTCATTTTTCTTTATTCCTTTGTGCAAGCTATACAATGTTAGTCACGCATATTTATGTTGCATTTTTGCTGTGCCTGTGAAAGTATTTATTCAGTACTGTCTCCCATACCTCACCATGCCAAGGTTAATCTGAAATTGGATGTTATGTTCCTTCTTTTAGCAATAAATTGCCTTTACATTGCTCTTTTGTCATATAAATCCCAAAGCATTTTATTGATAGAATTAGGGGTAAGTGCTTTGAGGGCGTTCCATGATACGAGTTGATAAAGGTTGATGTAATATAACTTTATTTGTCCATTTTATTGCATTTTTGATAGGCAAGAGTGTGAAGATCATTCTAGTTTTGATATTTTTCGTTCATTCATTGGATGAGTGTGTTGCTGGCTTGGCCAGCATTTACTGTCAATTCTAGATGCCCTTGAGAAAGTGGTGGTGAGCTGCTGCGTTGAATTGCTGCAGTCCATTTGCTGTGGGTAGCTACACAATACCATTAGGGAATGAATTCCAGTACTTTCACCCAACAGCATTGGAGAAATGGTGAAATATTTCCAGATCAGGATGGTGAGTGGCATTGGGGGGATCTTACTGGTTCCATGTATGTTGCTTCCCTTGTAATTTTAGATGGTAATAGTTATAGTTAAAGTAAATAATTAAAGAAGCCTTGGAGAATTTCTACAGTGCGTTTTATAGATGGTACACACTAATGTCACTGAGGGTTGGTGGTGGAGCGCGTAAATATTTGCGAATGAGATGCCAATCAAGCAGACTGCCTTGAGCTGGATGGTGATAATACAGTGTGGGGCTGGAGGAGCGCAACAGGCCAGGCAGCATCAGGGGAAGGTTGGGACCCTTCTTCAGAAAAACCTTCCTGCTCCCCTGATGCTGCCTGGCCTGCTGTATTCCTCCAGCTCCACACTGTTATCTCTGGCTCCAGCATCTGCAGTTCTTACTATCTCTTGTCCTGGATGCTGAATGGTGTTGAGTTTCTTGATTGTTGTTAGAGCTGTATTCGTAGGCAAGTTGGGAGTATTCCATCAAACCCCAACTTGTACCTTGTAGATGATTGACAGGCTCTGGGGAGCCAGTGGGTGAATATATGCTGCAGGATTCCTAGTTTCTGAACTGCTGTTGTAGCCGCAGTACTTAGGTGGCTAGTCCAGTTAGTTTCTGGTCAATGGTAACCCCAGGATGTTGATAGTGGGAGATTCAGCGATGATAATGCCACTAAATGTCAAGCAGCGATGGCTAGATTGCCTCTCATTGGAGATGGTCATCGCCTGGCTGTCTTGTGGCGTTATTTTACTTGCTACTTGTCAGCCCAAGCCTGAATATTGTCCAGGTCTGCCGCGTTTGGACATGGTCTGCTTTAGTGCTTGACTTGCAAATGATAGTGAGCATTGTGCAACCATCAGCGAACATTCTCATTTCTGCTGACACTTTAGCTGCTTCATCAATGACCATCTTAAGATTGTCAGTCCAAGGACACTAGCCTAGGGAACTCCTGCAGAGAGAGCCTGGAACTGAGATGATTGACCTTCAGCAACCACTTTCTTGGCACTAGGTATGACTCTTATGGGGTGTTTGCCCCCGATTCTTCTTGCTTCCAGTTTTGTCTCACTTAGTCAAATACAGTCTTAATGTGAGCGACAGTTACTCTCATCTCCCTTCTGGAAATCCACTCTTTTGTCCATGTTTGGAACAAAGCTGCAGTGAGGTCAGGAGTTGTGGTCCTGGTGGAACCTAAACTGAGCATCACTGAGCAGGATACTGCTGAGTACTGCTTGATAGCACTGTTGAAACTTTGTCACTTTACTGATGATTGAGATGGACTGAGGGGCAGTAATTGTCCAAGTTGGATTTGTCCTGCCTCTTTTGTAGAAGAGGTGCAAAGCTGAAACAGCTTGGCTAGGGGTGCGGCACTATCACTGGAATGTTGTCAAGGCCCTTGGTCTTTGCAGCATCCAGTACTTCCAACCATTTCTTGGCATTATGTGCAGTGAATTGAATTGGCTGACGACTGGCGTCTGTGATGCTGGGGACTACTGGTAGACGTCAAGATGGATCATCTGCTTGATGTTTTTGACTGAGGAACGTTGCAGCTACTTCAGTGTTGTCTTTTGCACTAATATGCTGGACTCCCCTCATCGTTGAGAAAGCAGGTCTCTGTGGAGTCTCCTCCAGTGAGTTGTTTAATTGCATTCACCATTCACAAATAGGTGTGGCATGACTGCAGAACCTAGATCTGAACTGTTGATTGTGGAATTGCTTGGCTGTGTCTAGCACTTGCTGTTCATACTATTTGTAGCAGCAGGTAGACCTGTATTGTAGCTTCACCTGGCAAACACCTAATGTTTAGTAGGGCCAGTGCTGCTCCTGGCATGCCCACCTGCACTTTTCATTGCATTAACTTGACTTAGAAGACTAGAATTGGAGGAATGGAGGCTTGTGTGGGGTTACAAGTTCATGGTATAGGGTGAAGCTGAGGCATTAAAGATTTGGAGATGATGGTGACTACCTTAAACTTGAGATACAGAGGAAATTTGGGACAACAGGACTCGTGTTGGGTGAGTGGAGCGTGATAGGATCTAGATTTTGAAGTTTATGACGTGTGCCATAGGTTTGGTTTCAGCCTTTCAGTTATTCAGCTGTGGAAAATTGTGAATATTTAAAGTGTAAATATTGGTCAACCAGCTTAACATTGGAAAGGTAATGGAAAAATCAAGGAATGTTGTGGAAAGATTGCATTATGAGTTACTAGCGTACGTTTGAATGCTGACTCCAGTTCTGCAGATGCCATTGCCAAAGGGCTGTGGTAAGGAAGAGACATAACTGGTGTTTCACTGAGGTCTTGGGGCAAAGAGAAATCATTCCTGTAGGTACCATGGCTACATAGTTGAGAGTGGAACCGAACAGGAGTAATCTTATTATACTGGGCAATAAAATTAGAAATGCTGGAGAGATGTATGCTGTGATAGACTAAATTTTAAGGCAGAGAGTTCTGATTTGATTCATTTTGGTAGGAAGAACAATGACAAACAGCACAAAATAACTTCTGAAAGGGTGCCGATACAGAGGCATCTCAGGGTCTATATACATCATTGAGTGACAAGGCAAGTTCGGAAAACAAGAAAAATATGGAGCCCTGAAGTTTTTAAGTGGAGGCAGAAGTACTGAAGCCAGATGTTATGGTGAACTTATGCTTCACTGGTTTGGCTTCATTTAGAGGATTATGTCCATTTCTAGGCTGCACATTTTAGGAGAGAAGGTGAAGGTTTTAGAGAAGGTGTAGAATGTAGTTGAGAATACCTCAAGGAATGATAAACTAAAAATTGTGTGTGTAGCTCTTTAGAGAGGAGAAAGTAGAGAGACGATACTATAAAGATGCTGAAAACAATATGGGGTTTTGGCAGAGTATATAGCAGATGTGTCGTTACCCATGGGATATAGTGGTAAGGTGGTTGATAAAAGAACCAAAAGGACCATGAATAAAAGCTTTATGCAGCAAATGATTTATGGTGTGGTATAGATGTTCTGAGTATGGTGGAGATGAATTTAATAGTGGCTTTAAAAAGAAAATTGGATAATTATTGGAAGATAAGTTTTGCACAGTTAGGTTATGAAGTCAGAGGACAGGCTGAGTCATGTGTACAGGAGACGAACACACACAACAGGCCAAAATGGTCTCCTCCTCTGTCACCATTCTGTCGTTATGCTTGTATATGGCCTTTTTAGTCACTCTGGTTGTTCCCACATGTCCATCCATCTGCTGCTGAAACTTTGGTTTGTGCTTCTCTCATCTCCAAAGTTAACTGATACATTGTTCTGGGGCTTCTGTAACTTCCCAATACCCTCAGCAAATTCAGAACTCTGCTACCAGTATCATACCAAGCTAGATTTCAACTAAGAAGACTTTTAGGAATTATTAGAGTTCAAAGCGAAGTTTGTATTTTTAAGACAAGTATAATAAGCTATTGTGGCAAACTTGACACAAATAAGTTCCATCCCCCTCAAAATTATTTCTAATTTATTTTGCTTCTAATATCTAATGTGTAATTTATTTTATATTTTAATCACTGTAGAGATGTGCTCCTGCATCAATCCGTCTAATGGATAACGCACAGTTCCAATTTGGTAAGCAAATATTAATTCTAAAAGATGTTTTATTATCAATGATGTATGTTTATTTGGAAGTTTGTATTTTAGTTTCTCTTCGGACTTACAATAGCCGAGGATGTAATAGTGAGAATCTAGTACTGTTTTGTCAAACATTTTTGCCTTGCACTCATCAGGACAGTTTTCAAAATAAAGGACAAATTATATTTAAACCAAATGAGAAGATTGCTGATTGGTTGGCAGATGTACATCAGGGGAAGTGCTGCCATGGAAATTGTAGCAGTTAATAACGACTGACAGTAAACTTAAATATTAAACTAGGCAAGTTGACCCTGATTGGTCCAGGCATTTCTGTTAAAAGCAAACCAGAGAATGGCTGTGACCTAATCTAAGTTGCCACGATGTGGAGTTGAACAAACCTCAAATGGCTGTTTAATCGTTAATCAGTTAGAAAAGATTAATATACAAATCCTAGAATTTCTTTCAAGTCACTGCCCTGTGATAACTAAAGTTTTAATAGTATACCAGAGGTAACATCTCAGGTCAGACAATGCATTTTAGGTGCAAAGCCTTGTTTAGAATCTGGCTGAGTATCAACTTGGAGTCAGACTGGTTTTATTTCCAAGGTAGGAATTTATAAATGTCACATTGACTGTTTAAAAATTGTGTGCTTTTTGAACAAAATAGAATGTATCTGCAATCACAAATCTGCCAATGCAGATTCACCCCATAGATTTGTGTGTGTGCGTGTGAAGAAGAGAGTGAGTGAGTGTGTGTATGCATGTGAGGGAGAGGGGTGGCGAGAGAGTGTGTGTGTCTTTAGTTATCTTGGGGCAGTGACTTGAAAGAAATTCTGGGATATGCATATTAATCCTTTCTAACTGATTCAAGATTTAACAGCCATCTTAGGTTTGTTCACTACATGAACATCTGTTCTATGGCCCTTTGATTTTGCTTATAAATTCTGTGTCTGATGCCATCTCTCTCATTGACACCTGAAGAAGGAGCTTGTGACTTCAAATAAACCTGTTGGACTGTAACCTGGTGTCGTGTGATTTTTTTGACCTACTTTAAGTTGAAATAGGCACAGCATGTGTGCAAGCTCTTTCTGTGCAGAGAACAGGGCCCTGTGCATTATTATGTGTAGCTTCTAGTGCGCACAACATTGCAAGCCAAACATGATACAAAGTTGATTTGCCTGTGCAGTTCTTTGTGCACTCAGGATTATTCAGCAGATGTTGTTCAGTTTGAGTTTTACAAGCACATGTTGCTTGCATATGGTCAGGATCTTGCTTCTTGTGAACAGCTGAAGTGATATGCTGTTTGATGTGATCTGCTAGTCTTTGAGATGTATGGTTAACATAGCTGGCATTGCACTGGCACTAAAATTCATGTACCACAATTCTTATTAGTGTGATTGGCAAAATGTGCTTTTTTGGCTTGATTACAGCATCAGTTAGTGGTGAACACAATTTGTCTTGACTGCATGGTAGCAATGTTAAAAAACTAACTAGAGTCAGTTGGTTAGCTTTACCCATTGCTCAAATTTTTAAGACACCTTACCCTTCCAGGATAATCGGAGGTGCAGGTGTTTTTCAGGACGATAAATGGAAATCTTAGACCTGTGAAGTCATCTAATCACTAATCAATATCCTGCAGAGTGGCTTTTCAGCATCAAGTCTGCATAGTGAACAAATAGCCCAGGCCCTACTTGAGTTTGCTACTCAGGTCAATCTTAAAGTATGTGGATCTGAAGGAAACCCAACATGTAGACTGAACAGGTGGAGATAGATTTGCAGTGGGGATTTTTAATGGGGAGGCGATAGCCTAGTGGTATTATCGCTTGACTATTAATCCAGAGACCCAGTTAGTGTTCTGGGGACCCAGGTTCAAATCCTGCCATGGCAGGTGGTGGAATTTAAATTCAATAAAAATATCTGAAATTAAGAATCTAACCATGACCGTGAATCCATTGTAGATTGTCAGAAAAACCCATATGGTTCACTAATGTCCTTTAGGGAAGGAAACTGCCATCCTTACCTGGTCTGGCCTACATGTGAATCCAGACCCATAGTAATGTGGTTGTCTTTTAGCTGCCCTCTGGGCAATTAGGGATGGATAATCAATGCTGCCTAGCCAGCAACGTCCTCATCCTGTGAATGAATAAAGAAAAAAAAAAGGTGGACATTAGTAGAGAACCCCTGCTGATTTCTCAACTAGGACATGAAGAGAAGAGAGCTCCTTTGACTGCAATCTTGTAAATTTGAGCACGGCTGGAGTACATTAAGATTTGTAAGGAACTTCTTACACGCAACTACAGATTCAAAAATAGCAAATGTGTCATCTACATGTTAGAAATATGTGAGGGTGATTCCATTGAATGCATGTTTCTCATATGACCCAACAACAATGTTTGCGAGGGCGGTGCCTCAAGAAGAATGCCATGGCAACAACATCTCCATCTGTGGAAAACTTGCTCAAAATTAGTTGTAGCAGTGTATGTTCCCCCTAATTGTTTTGCTTCTGTATGGACCTCAAAGGTCTGTGTGTGGGAGCACCTTGTGAAACCAGAAGTCAGTGCTGGTAACAGTGTTGAATGCTGATTGGTGTGCATGGACTCTCAAAACGTGACCATGCAACTTAAAGGGAATTCACCAAACCATTTGGTTCATGTACAACAGGTCATAGCTCAGATGAGGTATGAAGGGACATCATTTTCGTATGTCTAGGACAGTTTATAATGAGGAAGTGAACTGAGATCATAGCACATGTATAACTCAGCAATTAATTTGTTCATATACAAGGCAACAAGCATTTTGTTGTAGCTTGCTTTTGAGTAAGGTAGCCAATTGGTCCAGAGGATACCAATTTGCCATCCAATGGGATGGGGGTCGGGGTTCCAATGGGGTGGGGATGGCTACTATGATCAGATCATTTCTCACTTTATATATAGTCATGCAAACTCATCAATGTGTCTGAAGTTGCATTTTGTCCTGAAAAGTGTCTAGTCAACCCCCTGTTACAGTCAAAGAATGAGATGGCTCAAAGGTTTGAGCAACAGGTGAATCTACTAGTTTCATGTTGTAACTATACAGTAGCAACACATGTTTGCCACGAACAGAATGCTGCCAAAATGACATTCTGCCTGTCACAAAAAATGAGTAATGTGATATATGAAATTCAGTGCCAGTGTGTATGTAAGCCATTCGTCTCAATGATTTACACGTTGTTTAGGTTTTTTTTGCAAATTATTCTGATCAGAGCAAGATGAAAAGCTTTTTCAGTACTAATGGAGTTCTGTACTGCCAAATTATTTGAATTTGTACTACCTAAATTGACATTTATACATTGTGACTCTGACTTATATTGTGACACTTGACAGTGTTATTTATGCCATCAGGTGTCAGGGGGTCTTTTTAGTTCCTTTTTGGTCCACACATGGGCTAAAAGTGTGGTTGAATATTCAAAAGATTACTTTGACAAGGGAAAGAGCCAAAAGTCTGACTTCTGAAATCCAGTTAGGGTCTTTTAGTAGGTTCAAAATGAATTGGCTTTAGCTCTCCTTTCTGCATTTCAGCTTACAGTCCCAAAATGTAAGGCCAATTGAATAATATTACATTCTTTGAATAATAGATGATAATTCATTAAAACCTGTCTTCAGGTCTCCTGAGTGGCTTATGGCAATCCTGCCTTGGTTTTATTGATTATAATTTGAACTTCTGTTGAAACGACCCAAGGTCAGATCCAACAGCTGAGCAGGAACGGACACAGGACAGCTGAGTAAGTGAGGTTATATATTTGGGCGGTTGCTTTACCCGAAACACTACTTGGGTAGTGTCTCCCACCCATCCTCCTCCTCTAACCAAAAAAAAAGTTCTGAGCGCCGATTTGGTAAGGTTACTAGTTTTTTTTGTTTTTTCAGAATTCAGAACAGTGGGAATGGATGTTAGGGCAGTTGCATGCTCCTCCTGTAGAATGTGGGAGCTAAGGGTCACCACTAGTGTCCCCACTGACTTCATCTGCGGGAAGTGCACCCAACTCCAGCTCCTCGGAAACCGTGTTAGAGAGCTGGAGCTGGATGAACTTCGGATCATTCAGGAGGCTGAGGGAGTAATTGAGAGGAGTTACAGGGAGGTAGTCACACCTCAGGTACAGGAAAAAGGTAGATGGGTTACAGTCAGGGGACGGAAAGGGAACAGGCAGACAGTGCAGGGGTCCCCTGTGGCCGTTCCTCTCAATAACAAGTATACCGTTTTGGATACTGTTGTGAGGGACGACTTACCAGGGGTAAGCCATGGGGTACAGGTCTCTGGCACAGAGTCTGTCCCTGTTGCTCACAAGGGAAGGGGGGAGAGGAGGAGAGCATTAGTCATTAGGGACTCCATAGTTAGGGAGACAGATAGGAGATTCTGTGGGAACAGGAGAGACTCACGGTTGGTGTGTTGCCGCCCAGGTGCCAGGGTCCGTGATGTCTTGGATCGTGTTTTCGGGATCCTTAAGGGGGAGGGGGAGCATCCCCAAGTCGTGGTCCACACAGGCACCAACGACATAGGTAGGAAACGGGATGGGGATGTAAGGCAGAAATTGAAGGAGCTAGGGTGGAAGCTTAGAGCTAGAACAAACAGGGTTGTTATCTCTGGTTTGTTACCCGTGCCACGTGCTAGTGAGGGGAGAGAGAGCAGTTGAACGCGTGGCTACAGGGATGGTGCAGGAGGGAGGAATTCAGATACCTGGATAATTGGGGCTCATTCTGGGGTAGGTGGGACCTCTACAAACGGGATGGTCTACACCTGAACCAGAGGGGTACCAATATCCTGAGGGGGAAATTTGCTAATGCTCTTCGGGAGGGTTTAAACTACTTCAGCAGGGGAATGGGAACCTGAATTGTAGCTCCAGTGTACAGAAGGTTGAGAGTAGTGAGGTCATGAGTAAGGTTTCAAGGTCGCAGGAGGAAGGTGGTTTGAAGTGTGTCTACTTCAACGCCAGGAGCATCCGGAATAAGGTGGGTGAACTTGCAG